GGCTCTGCCCTGCTGCCGCTTGCCGGGCAGGGGGACAGGGCATGATTCAGGCATGGCTTGCTCCGGGCGGAAGGGGTAAGTGACAGCAGAGCATAGCACCCACTCCCAGCGCTGCCACACCCGCATCCCGCACCTCCCCCACTCAAGCTAGGCAGCTTGTCCCAGCCCCAATCCCTCCCTCCCCAACCCCAACAGACTTACCAGCTAAAGGCAGATATGTCAGCTGCCTGTTTAGTCTAGGGCCGAATCTCCGATGAGGCCTAGTTAGCATCTCAGTCGACTCACTGAAAAGCCACCAGGGACATTGTGTGTCAGTTACTCCTTACTAACGTAGACATGGTAAAATGACATTAAATCTAAATTCTGGATAATTCTTAGAATTTGGAGGAAAATTTAAGGTACTATATTGAAGATCAAGGGTTGTTCACTTACTGTCTGTGGGCCACATTCACCCTGCAGAGCTACCTTATTTGGCCTGTGGAGCCAAGGGAAGGGAGGGGAGGTCAGCTTGGAAGCAGCCCATACTTGGAGTTAAGCACTGGTAGAGCAGCTTCCCCATCCACCCCACCCCCCAAATGTTGGTGACCCCTGCTACAGATGCTAGATTAGTGAAAATAGTGTCTTTAAAATTATTTTTGTTCATTTTAAATTAACTCATTACAAGTTCACTGAATACCTAGTGGTTGGGGATCTACCTAATCTGCAGCAAGCAAAAGGGATTTTTGCAGGCCGTTTAGGTGCATGGAGGCGATTTTTGCAACAAACACGCCCCTCACCATTGATTGGCTGAAGGGCCCTGGTGGCCCCGCCTCTCGCTGGTGCATGGCCAGAGACAGGGCTGTGTGATGGGCAGCCCTCTCAGCCATTCAACAGTGCAGGAGGGGGTGCCATCTTGGCTGCTCCCCCCCTTTCCCTGGCAGGCTGTGAGGCTGTGCCACAACAGCCATGAGGACCCCTGGCTCCCACCTGGGGAGCCAACATTTCATTTTTAGTAAGGTTTTTTTGGTTTGTTTTTTAATTTCATGGACATTGCCTGATTTCAGAGACGGTGCCCAATTTTGTAGTTTCCGTGAAACTGCGAATTAGGTAGGTTCCTATTAATGATCTAACATAGCAAACATCTTGTCTGTTGAATAAGAAACAACCCGTTTCCATAATGCTGTGGGATCTTGATTATTTCAGTTAGCATAAAAACTTCATAAACTAAATGACCTTGTGCAATTTTAAAACTTGGGTGTTAAATCATCTTAGTGTTGGCTATGGCACTTAAGATGATTTTTCCAAATACATTTTTTTCAAGCTATGCCTCTCTTTTTTGGTTTAACTTGTAATCTTGTTTTGTATATTTTTTTTCCTCTCATAGGTATCATTCTGACAAGAGGGATGCAAATGAGAGATCGGTTGATGCAACTACAAAAAGGGACAAACCTGTGGTACGTCCTGAAGAAATCCCCCCGGTGCCTGAAAATAGATTTTTGCTGAGAAGGGACGCACCTGTTGTCAATGTAGAGCCCGAGCCGTAAGCAACAGACTAAACCTTTTTACTTTGACTCTCAGCTTTCAGAAATGTTCTTTCTATTAATTTTTGTACTGATCCACATAAGAGCCCCACATGGTGATAAGAAATTTCTTAAGTCTAAGACCAACTACCTTAAATATTTGTCATGTTTCTTTTGGAATTTCTACTTTGGTTTCTTTGTCAAATCCCTTTAGATTAAATCTAATTTGAATACCTTTATATGCTGCTGTTTATCCTGGAGAGTCCCATCTGTGATACAAACTTTCAGCTAAAATACAAAGGCTGCGTCCAGATGAGCACAAATGTGCAGTATGTGCCACACATACCAGCGTGCCCTGCGCTGCTACCTTGCAGGGTGGGGGGTTGACCCTGGGAGATCCCAGGGTCAAAAAAACCCATGGCAGAAAAAGGCGAGGCAGCACATGTGGTGGTAGTGTGCACTGCCCAAAACCAGAGCCTGCCCGACTGGAGCCACACTCTGGCTGCAGTCCAGGCCTGCGGCTGCAGCCCTAGAAGGCCCCCAGCACCCCAGTAAGGCTGCTGGGGCCAACACAGTCACTGGCCCTGATCTCAGCCTCCCCTACCCCAGCTGTGGTAACCTCCCGTGTGCCAGAGTGCGCCGTGACAAGGTGTTCCGCGGCTACTTGTCCCCAGGGGAACAAACAGCTGCATTCATCTGGACGTGGCCAGAGTGTAAATAACTTCTTATTTCAGCACAGAAACCTGAGATATGCTCTATTGTGTGTTTTATGGTTTACAGTATTTTATTACAGAGTAGTGGGAACATAAAATGGCGAGTTTCTTTCCAATCTAAATTTCTTCCGATTTTAATATGATGCATCAATCCACTGGAATTTTGTAAAGGCTCCAATCTTTTCTAAATATAGGAAGAAAATGTTTCTAAAGGACCCAGAAAAGACATTTGCACATTATCTCAAAGTAGACGTGGTAGAAATTGCGTATGTAGAATTCCAGTGTTTTTCCCGACAGGCCTCTCTTAGTATAGTGGGTTGAGTACCATGGAGTAATACACTGGTCATTTATCTATTTAACTTATTAAACCTAAGCAACATTTATGAATGTAAGTGGACAATCCCAGATAAATTAGACACTATGCGGTCATAGCACTTAAAATCCTTTGCATGTACTTCTCAGCCTTCTAAAGTATATTCGCAAAAATACTGAGTTGTCGCATTGCTAAAATTTACTAGAATTAATAGATTATCCATTGCTGGTAATCCAGTGATGTAGTTCCTTAAACTAAGCCTTTTAAATGCTGGGAAACTATTCAGTGGATTTGTAACCAAAAAACTCCTAGAAAGTTTCTAGATCTGAGGTGCGTTGTTTTCTGTAGCCAGAGGCACACAGAAAAAATGATTATGATTAATTGCTATGTCTAGTGCCCTTTAACTCCTCAACCTGAATGCCCTGGTACGCATTCACTGCTGGGTCAATTGGGAGTTGTCTGTGGAAGTCTGAAGTAATACGTGAACTCGTGCCTCTGCATCCACAGCAAGGTGCCTTAGACACTCTGCCCTGCAGTGGACACATGGTTAGTAGATCATTTAAAATGACAGTGTCCTAAGGAAAGGGATGGACTATTTTAGCAGAGCATTTTGAAGTGCAAGTCAGCAATGTTCCCTTAAGTTTTCAAGTTAAATTTGATCTTTCTAGCTAGGCAAAAATCACTATAGTAATAACCCACCTTTTTGTAGGAGAACTATATATTTTTCTTGTTATTTCTTGGTGACCGCTTCTAAGTATACTGGCTTTGATATATTGTATTAATCCATTTGGTAAATATTAATGGTGTAAAAATAGAAGAAAGGTATTCATGTGTTAGGAACAAGTTTGTATTGTCCTATGGCTTTTATATTAAGCCTGTTTTTCTTATTATTTTAGGAAACTTCTTGATGTTGCACCAGTATTGAGTGACCAGAAGCCCTCAGTCTCCAAATCTGGAAGAAAAATTAAAGGAAGAGGCACAATAGTATGTAGCTTCTGATATTTCCCTCCCCATCACCTCCCCCAGGATTTTAAATTACTCAGATGGTTTGCATGAGATTTGTTTTAACCAAGGTTAAAACTTCATAATGTATTTGCTTGGTGAGTTGAAGCATTGCTGTATTTGCAGTAAACGAGTGCATTTGTAAAACTAACCTTTTCCCCTGAATCCCCCAAAAAAGGTTTGCCTAAAAGATTGTTCAGGAAAAAATGTCCCTTTGGTTATAATCACTTGTCAAAATTACTTGCAAATAAAATAAAGCCAGGAAGACTGATTCCCATAATTCAGGGGCGGGTAAAATAAGGCCTGCAGGTCAGATCTGGCCCACCAGGTGCTTTCATCTGGCCCGTTATGCCCACCAACTAATTGTACCCTGCCCAGCCCTTCTGCCCACAAGGGTGGAAACAAGGCACCCGTATATGCACACCCAGCCAACATACCCTTTTGCGCCTCACTCCCATGTGGGTGGAAGGGCCCAGCCTAGCCAGCATGCATCTTCCTGGCAGGGCTACTGCTGCAGCCAGCAGGGAACCTGTTTGGCTTCCCCAGCATCCCACTTGCTCCGAACACCAGGTAGAGAAGCAATGGGGGCAGAGCTGTAACTGGCAAGGAGTGTGGCCTGGGGCTGGTGACAGCACGGAGCCTGTGCCCAGGGGAGTGGTGGCACCGCAGAGCTCAGGTGGGCAGGGTGTGGGTGTGGGGACCCCCTCAACACTCACCCTCCATGGCGTGTAGCCCCTGCCAGCAGGAGGCAGGAGCACTTGGGGTGCTTGTGCCTGGCGCCTGGCGGTGCGTGGCTCTGGCCAGCACTGCACTTGAGGGTGAGGAGCGCAGCCCAGCCAGGCCGCCTCTATCGCTGGGGCTCTACGCTGTGCACTTGCAGGTCCGGCACTCGTGTGCCACCAGAGGGAAGCCCTGCACTCCAGAGCCTGCTGCTTTCACTTCTCCCTGCCGCACGAATCCTGGGGCTGCTCCCAAAGTGGAGGGGAGCCCCAGCCCCTGCTTCCCTGTAGAGTCATGGGACCTACGTGGCGGGGAAGGCAGTGGGCTCCAGCACATGAGTGCAGGAACTGTAGGTGTGCGGTGCGCAGCCCTGGCGATAGAGGTGGCCTGGCCAAGCTGCTCTCCTTGCCACGATATGCAGTGCTGGCCAGGGCCGTGTGCCACCAGGCGCCAGTGCCTGTGCTGGGCACAAGTACCCTGAGCGCCTCTGCCTCCTGCTGCTGCTGCTGCTGCTGCTGCTGGTGGGGGCTATACACCATCGGGGGACTGTGTAGGAGGGGTCCCCACACTCCCTCAAAAACTACAAATGATTCACACCCACGCCCTGCCCCGGCAACCACCCACATATACACCCCCCACACAATATACAAGACTACTAAGACTTTATTTTAAATTATTATGCAACCACCTCTATATACAGTACTCAAACACAAATCATGACTTTTTTTTGTAAAATTAAAATTAAATATAGTAGGTGTTTGACTATTAGTGTAAGATACATTTTTTTCTGGTTCTAAGATGGCAACCCTCCTCCCAAAAGGAGTATTTCTGGGGGGCAAGGGGATGGACTTCCGGTAGCAAAGATCTGGAGTTAGGGGCAGGACTTCTGGTCTCAAGATGGTGACCAAGGGGCAGGGGCTACCCATGCGGCCCTCAACAGCTCACCAAAATTTGTTAAGTGGCCCTCTGGCTGAAATAATTGCCTACCCCTGCTGTAATTGCTACTGGGCCCCAGTGTTTGAACTGGAAACGATGACAGTAGCTACTATCCTCTTCCAGTTATTGGAGTTCCCTGTAACAGCCTCCTTTGAAACCTCAGTGTTGTAAGATGCTGTTATAAAGAGAGATGATGTACAGCAGTGACTGGCAGTCTTTTGAGGCTGTGGGTCAGCTTTGACCCAGTTCAGGTCAGGGAGTGAGCACTGGAAGTGAGCACTAGGACCCAGCCACCGCTGCCTCTTTCCTCCTCATTAGTGTGGGGAAAGCACCCCTTGCTGCTGCTTATCTTTGCCCCAGGTTGCAGAAAACACCTGCTACAGGGTTCTTGGGCGCATTATTATTAAGTTTTTTTTATGGGTTTGGATAGACAAGATGACACATGTAAATGAAGATCAGTTAATCTGCACAGGTCTCATCTCGGGTGCACAGAGCCAGTGCAGTGAGTAAAGGAGCTATGGATTATGCATAGTGTTGTGTTTTAATGCATGGTCAGTGTTTCGTAGCCATACTTCATGTCTGATTTGGATGTGGGTGTTGAAATTATAGCGGTGTTCAACAAAGAACTACAAATTGGTGTGAGATGTAAAAAATAGGTTTTGTGGCAAGCAACTTAAGCAGCTGAAGTATTTAGCTCAAGCGGTCTGTAAGTACCTACATGGCAAAGATTTCTGCATTGATTGCCCTTTTTCAGTACAGGCATGTTAGCATCGTGACTCAAGCTAAATCAGTGATGTTTAAGATCTGTCTTTGATGTAGTATTCTGGTATCTATTTACAGGCACTCTGAACATCTCCCCATCTTACACACATTCCATTTGTTGTTTCCCTAAGCACATGGAGGGACTGAGGAATCATTTGCACAGGGCAATGATACTGGGGCTGCTCCTCCTCAAAAGTTTGTTGCAAGTTTATTTAGGCAGTAAAAGAGAGGCTATTAGTGAGCATCAACCTTCTTGTTAATTGCTCTCTTAATGTCTCAGTGATCCAAGGTTTCAGCCCCAGCTCCTGTGCCACATCTACCAAAGACCCTATTCATCCACCATCGCATTGGTATCAGCATCCTCTAGGTTCAGAAGATTTCACATTCCAAAGATGAGCCAAGGTGGAAATTGCTATCCCTGATGCCTAACAGGCTGGGACATGATCAGACTTGCAACTTGTCTCGGTCTCAAGAAGAACCAAACTTCTGAACAGGTTCCCTGCTGCTTTGGTACCAGGCTCCAAGACAGCACATGCTTGGGATCGGCCACTGCTGTTTTCTCTATGAATCTGAGTGCTCCAAGTTGTGGTGCCTTCCACCCTGGTACCAGTTATCTTCTTAATACTGACTCAGTATCTAAGCAATAAACAGTGTTGATTGAACTACCTGTGCACCTGATTTTTCCTGAAAAATTTAGAGCCTATAAATACCAGTTTTGGAGTCCTTCAAGACTATCCCTATTGTCCTACCCAACACAGAACAGGTGTTGGCTGTTGTATCCAGAACCATCTTTGATGCATTTTGCAGTTTGGATGCTTTCCTGTTGGCATCCACCAAAAGTCGTTTAGCTGAGGTGCAGATCACTGTGCTCCAAAGCAGGAAGCTTTCAGTAAGAGGGACTAAAGCTAAATGGAAGAGGTTTTCTATTGGGGCATTTTATTGCCAGTTTCCATTTAACATCACCAGTTTCAACACTGTATAGATTATTTGCTAGCCCTAAAACAAACTGGGTTTTCCATTAATTACATAATGATCTGTTCTTAGCAGCAGTATCAGCATATTGACTTTTTATCCATGACTACCATCCCCACCTCCTCCCCTATGTTGAAAAGCCCCACTCTCTCACAGGAACTCAATATAATATTTAAAGGGTTGTTGGGTCCACATCCTTAAACACTTACCAACCTGCTTTATATACCACTGGTATATTAAAAAGGCAACCTTCATACAGCTGCTACATTGCCTCAAAGGATAGACTCCTCCTGACAAGTTCTGTTTGTACACTGTATTTTATGTTTAGGTTCACTCTTAGATCTCATCCCAAATGTCTTATTTCTGAGTTCCATATAAATCAATCCATTCATCTCCCAATTTTCAACTCGGGGTAGTGGGGGACTCTTTAATGGCATGCAGGTTAAGAAGTCAGGTCCCCTTTTATGCTGACAGGACAAAAAAGGAATGTAGAATGGCGTTTCTTTCCTTGCCTGTATTATTGAGACCTCCTGGATGATTTTCACATTGGTTTTCTGGGACAGGATAATTGTTGTGTACTGTCTGCCTTTATTTTAATTCTGCTGTTTGTTCTTCAAGCGATACCACACCCCACCTCGATCGCGCTCCTGTTCTGAGTCTGACAATGATGAGAGCAGTGAAACCCCTCCTCATTGGAAAGAAGAAATGCAAAGATTAAGAACATACAGAGAACCCAGTGGAGAGAAATGGAGTAAAGGAGACAAGTAAGATCTTTGCTACAAGTTTCAAATGGTTAAGTCTCTTGTGCCAGAACTGTAATAGCCTTTCCAAACTTAGCTTGCATTCATTTTCTTTGCAGCTTCAGTGATTGAGTAGTTCATCTGGAAGGATGTCTTCTGTGGGCATGCTTAGTTCAGGATCACAAGACCATATTTTCTTGCATACCCCACACATTTTTTCCCCCAAGAATCAGCTGCTGGAAAGCAGCTGCTGGTGCATGTGTTAAATGATGAAATACAGCCCTGGGGCACCCTCGCACTGCTAGTGGAGAGTCAGTAAGAGCATCTGCAGTAGGAGCATCTGCCTTGCGGGGGGGGGAAAGGGAAGGTAACCCTGCACATGGTGGATAGGGGCAGCGCAGTAACCATGTGGGACCAACAGCTAGGGAGCTCTTGGCAAGGAATACAGATAAACACAGCAAGTCTAATATTAGGGCCAGAACAAGATTTAATAATCACATTTAAAAAAAAATTGCTCAAGTATTTTTACAGTTTATAAGTGTTTCTCAGAAGCAGCTCTCTCAAGAAGTTCTGGTAACTTACTAACTGTAATACGAACTTTATACCATGTTCTGACGGTCTAATAATCTCATTCTGTGTTCTGCATTTAAGTATCTGGTTCCTGAACAATAATAATAATAAGAAGAAAAGTTGTATTAGTCGGGGACTAAAATTGTATTTGTTTTGTTCCATCCTGTTAATATATTTTTAAGATTGTTTGCTAAAGAAACATAAATAAACCCTAACTTTGTTTGGACCTTTTTTTTTTTAAGGTTGAGTGATCCTTGTACAAGCAGATGGGATGAAAGAAGCATGTCCCAGAGATCAAGATCTTGGTCGCATAATGGCTATTCTGATCTTAGTACTGTAAGATATACCAACTATCACAAAAAGCACCGAAAAGAGAAAAAGAAGGCAAAACACAAAAAGAAGTCCAAGAAGCAAAAACATTTCAGGAAACATAAACAAACTAAAAAAAAGAAACCTTCACTCTCATCGGAGGTAGAATCCTCTCGTTCTTCCACCAGGAAGGCGAAGTTGTCTTGTGATAATGAGAGGAAGTCACGTTCTTCCTCATCTTCTAGACACTCATCTAGAAGAGACTGGTCTAAATCTGACAAAGATGATCAGAGTTCATCAACTTTATCAAGCAGAGATTCCCGATCATACTACAGGTCCAGGTCTAGGTCTAGATCCAGATCCAGATCATATTCCCGAAGAAGTTCTAGGTCAAGAACAGCATCTAAATCATCGCGGTCTCGAAGCAGATCAAGATCTAGCTCTAGCTCGAGGCACCAGAAAACTGTGTCCAATTCATCACGGAATACTGTAGCACGGTTAAATGAAAATAAGCCAAACAAGACTGAACCTGTAAGAGCAGCAATACCACAGAGTGATAAAGTTGTAGTACCCCCAGTTGTAACTGAAAGCCTTCCAGTTATACCCTTAAGTGACAGTCCTCCGCCTTCCAGATGGAAACCCGGACAGAAGCCTTGGAAGCCATCTTATGAGCGAATTCAGGAAATGAAAGCTAAAACAACCCATTTAATGCCTGCACAAAGTAGTTACAATTTAGTAAATATTAAGGAAGCTAATACTACTTCCTCCTACCATAAGCAACGCAAGAGTTCAGGTAGCGAGCGAAGTGGCTATTCAAAGTATCATAGTGACAGAAGTTCAGATAGTTGGCCAAGATCAAGGAGCAGATCTTCTCGAAGTAGATCCTACTCTAGATCGTATACAAGATCGAGAAGTCCATCTAGTTCAAGAACAAGATCTCGGTCAACTGGCAGATCCCAGTCAATAAATAAATATCGCAGTGACCAGTCAGGTTACAGCGGGTCTTCCTCATATTACTCCCTTAGCGATGAAGATCGAGGCAGAAGCAAAAGAAAATCTGAGTCAAGTGAACAAAACTTCCAGTCGCTTAAGAAAAGGCAGAAAAGTAGCTCTGAAAGTACTCTTCCTTACAAAAGCTCTAAAGACTATGACGAGTCGTCTCAAGGGCGAAAAGGAAGTGAGAGTAGGTCATCTTCAGACTTTTCTACAGACAGTGAGCATTCTGGTAGAATTCAGACGGCCCAAGAAAAAGAAGGCCATTTTCAGTCAGAAGGGGAGAATCCAAAACGGGATAAAAATAATCTGACTTCCGACAGAGCAGAGGAAAAAGCGAAGAGTGACTGGGATAGTGCCCGTTCTAAAACAAAAACCTTCAAGGAGAAATCTTCAGAACGGCCTAGAAGTGGTGCAAAGACCAGAAGAAAAACCTATTCAGGCAGCAAGTGGGACTCCGAATCAAATTCAGAAAGAGAAGAAACTCGAAATGGTCGAGACGAGTCTAGGCCTTCATCTAGCAAAGAGGAAGGTGAGGCTTCCTCAGGATCCGATACAGAAGTTGGTCCTGTCAAAAGCAGGGTGAAAACGAAAGCAAATTCTTCAGAAGGGTTCCTGGATTCGGATTGTACTTGGAAGACAAGCAAACGGCAGTCCTCCTCTTCAGAGTCGGAGAGTTCCCACTCTAGTTCAGCAAATATTAGAGGAAAGACCAAAAAACACAAGCACGCATCCAAAAAAACTCTGAAGAAGTCACATTCCAGAAAAGCCAAAGAAAAATCAAAGGGGAAAAAAGAAAAGAAGCGTAAGGTTCAAAAACAAAAGGAAGCGTTTCACTGGCAGGCCCCCCCGGAAGGCTTTCCCCGGCCCCCCGCCACTGGAGTTCGGTGAGGAGGAAGAGGAGGATGCGAATGAGCAGCCAGTTATCAGGGATGAAAAGGAAAAGCAAGTTGCCAAGGACATTACAGATAAGAATCAACAAGCTTGTGAAAACACTGACCTGTGCCAAGATAAAAATGAAAAGGATGAAAAGTCTTGTGGAGCTGAAAACCTCGCAAGTAAAAATGTTGCTTGCAGCTCATCACCAGACCATAGTTACCTTAGTAAAGAAGACGGTGAAAAGAGCACTTCAGCTGCAACCTCAGAGATAAATGCGACGGCTCCAAACGGCAATCTTAAAAATGCCGAAGTAAGTAACCAGAATGGGTCAGAAGATGTCTTACCAACAGATGACAACATGGAGATTTGTACTCCAGATCGTAACTCTCCTGGGAAGGTAGTTGTGAACATCTTGTCCCCCGTCAACCTGAATGCTAAGCCTCAGACTTCGGATACTAGTGTGAGCAAAGAGTTACAAACTGAGAGCCCGGAACCGAGCGCTGCCAAACAAGGAAACGTTAGGGAATTGATCAACATGAAAGAAAAAAGAGAAATAGGAAAACAAGATAGTAACTCTGTCACTATGCCCATTGCTGTGGAAAATGCCGTGAAAACTGAAATAGGTGAAAGCACACAAAGCAGTATGATAGATAACAAATGGAAACCTCTGCAAGGTGTAAGCAATCTACAGTCCGCTACTAATAATAGTGCTGTAGAAGTTAAAAGCGCTGCTTCGGCACCTGAGTCTAAACCGCAAGGCTTAAGAATAGAAATAAAAAGTAAAAATAAAATCCGGCCTGGATCTCTGTTTGATGAAGTTAGAAAAACAGCACGACTAAATCGAAGGCCAAGAAACCAAGAAAGCTCAAGCGAAGAACAGTCTCCAAGTAGAGATGACAACAGCCAGTCCAGGAGTCTGAGTAGGTCACGAAGTAAATCTGAATCTAAATCCAGACATAGAACAAGATCTCTATCCTACAGTCATTCACGAAGTCGATCACGGAGTTCCACTTCCTCTTATAGGTAATACATTTGCTGAGCAATTTTTTTTTGGTAAATTGCCATTCTATTTTAAAAGATACAAAAGAAACATTTAAGATAAAGTTTCTTGTGGTTTGTGATTTCCCCCCCCCTCCCCCCCCATAGTTGTATGCTAGTAGCAATTAAATTTCTCTTAACTGGCTTCTATGGAATAAAACAGATTTGCAGAATCAGTCTTCATGGTAATTCCCATTTTTGTACATCTCCCTTTTAGTTTACACATTAGTAAATCCTGTTTTAAATTGTTCTTTAATTTTAGGTCTCGAAGCTATACAAGAAGTCGAAGTAGGGGACGGTACAGTAGGGATCGGTCAAGAAGTCGGAGTAGCTCGTACCACAGTTACAAGAGTCGGAGGTAAGTTTCTGTGATGAAAATGGTGCCCAGAAGTGCAGGTTACCACAAATTGTAGTAAATGAGGCATAGTAAATCAAAGTAGCTTAATGCTGGAGCCAAGGTTGAGATGCATCAATGTAACTGCATTCCCTGTGCACTCTACTTGAAATGTCTGTGGTGTGTAAGAATAGAAATAAACTTCAAGATTGCATATTCTTGGAGAATAACTGTGAAAATGTCAGGCAGCTTCAACTAAAAACACCAAGCAAATCACATTTTTTTCCCTAATTCAGCATTTATTCCAATTTAATGATTAAAACGTCTTTCCTGTTTCATTCTGACAGTCGAACCTATAGTAGAAGTCGATCCAGAAGCAGTTCTTACGATCGTCACAGTCGATCCAGGTAGGGATTATGGTCCTACAACTAATACAGATGGCAAACTCTTCTTACTAGGTGCATCTACACGTGCAATTAGGGCAATGCAATGAATGTGGACACAGTTCTGTCAGCTGCTCTTGGGTTCAGTGTTTACACATGCTTCCAGGACCATAGCACGTTGAGCCAGGGTGGAGCAGCCCTGGGCTGGCAGGTGGCCCAGAGGGTCAGCCCTGGGCTCCAGGTGACGGCATCAGGCAACAGAGGGTCTGGCTGGGGCACAAGAGTGCTATAGTGCAGGGCTAGCCGGCAGGCAGCACCCGTACTGTAGCGCCCTTATGCCCCAGCCAGTCCATCACAGTCTACACGTGCATTTGAGCACACATAATTACTCTGCAATAGGATAGTATTTCCCCAATAGCCCATGTGTAGACTGTGACACTTTACTGGAAAGCTAATTAATCAGTTCTGCTGTAAAGCACACATGTAGGTACACCCACAGTGAGCAAACGTATTAAGACAGTGCCTTTTCAATTTATAACCTGTGTGATATTTTTTTAAGTAGTCAAATAAAAGAGAACTTGACTGCCTGAAATTTAATCATATTTTTTAAAAGATAAAAAAATAAAGGCACCCAAATATCGCAGTAAAAAAAACATAGTATTAGAACCTGAATAGAACTGAATAGAATTAGATGCCCTTTGTGTACTGCTTCCTGAGTCTGTCAGTTTGTTTTTAACCTTCTCCTACTCCCCCATTTTTTCTTTATTTCCCATTAAAAAATAGCAAGAGAGAAGTTAAGATTTTTTGATACAGTTGAACGTTTAAAATTAGTCTAAAAACACATGGAGTTTGTGGGGGTGGGGGGAGTTAAATAAATAGCTTATTTGGGTAAGCAATGTGAGGCATGTATTCCTAGTTCTTTATAAAGAAAAGTACACTATTTGAAGTAAACATTTTTAATCGTTTTACCTTTTTGACAAATCCTTCAAATAATTGCCACTCAGCAATTCTTATTTCCCTATATAAATGTCTTTACAACACACATCCCCGAGTCTGATTTTCTTCATTTTAACCAAGACCTTTCCAAAGTCTTTAATGACTTCTTTTCTCCCTATTAAAGTAGGTCATATACCTATGATAGTTACTATAGCAGAAGTCGTAGTCGAAGTAGAAGTAAGAGGAGCGACAGCTATCGCAGATCTCGAAGCTATGACCGACGGTCCAGGTATGTAATTTTAGTAGCATAACTTCAAAACTATAGCTGTATTCCTAATGAAAGTCTTTTAGTGTTGTATTGGAAGCTAATGAGAGAGACCCTGTCCCCCCCACTCCTAATACTACCATCCATATAAAATTCACTATTATTACCAGGTTGTTTAATAGTAATAATGAGGAATTAGAAATACATGACAAGAGTAACAGACAAAATCACTATTTCTAAAGGTAGAGGATTTTGAGAAGAGACCAAAAATATTGTACTGCTATATTCAGTCCACTGGCTGTAAGTACATTTGTATGCATCTGTTTCTCTACCTGTGGCAGCACATATTTAAAAAAAAAAATCCTTATTTAACCATTTGAGAACTAAATGTTTGTGGGATTTAAATCTGACTGTTTGTTTTATATGTTGGTACAAGGGATTGAAAAATCACCTTTTAGTGCCAAGATGCCATGGGATGGTAGATCTTTTTTAATAGATACCAGCAAAAATCTTGAGAAGAGAAATAACTATGCTGACCAAAATGCCAGTGCAAATGACACTTCTTGCACTCTAATTATAACTGTAGTTAAAGAGCTGTAAGTGTAATTAGTTACACTTCTATAGACAATGGATATGTTTTTCAGAGTCCATTTGCTTTGAAAGCTTAAGTTCCTAGCATATGTTTCAAAAAGAACTTCAGTTTGTAAGGCCACTGCTATGCTGGGGCTGCTGTCTGAGCCATGTGGTCCATGGTATAAACGGAAGATGATGGGCAGCCCTAAATCTGAAGTGGAAATCCCACAGATGTCAGTGGGCAGTTTACAAAGATCAAGGTTGGATTGTGATCTTGGGTAGTAGCAAACTTTTGGTTGTCAGTTGTTTAGTCCCTTTTGTCGCATCAATTATTGCTCAATGGTAAAATCTGCCAGTGTTTGGAACTGCGCTGTTTCTAGCCTATCCATTTCCCATTCTTCTTTTCCTTTGGATTTCCACTCCCAGTTTCTAGTCTGTGGAATCACTCAAATCATTCCCCAAACCATCCATCTCTGTCATTAAAATAAGTTCTGTTATACATCAGAGTTGACACCTGAATATGATTATAACGGGATGGAGAAAGCCCTGAATCTTGTTTCAGGTTAGCAGCTGCAAATCTCAGAAAGACAAATGTGGAATTTAAGGTACATTCCTTTGGCATATGAACTATCTACTAAAGAACTAGCACTGGAAAATTACTGCTCTCTCAAGAAAGTTTACTCTTCTAAATTCACATGTCCTTGTGTAGCTTGCATGCCATTTAAATAGGCTGCAGATTGCACAGATGGTCAACACAACCAGTTCACAAAGAAGAAAAACACACGCATTTAATTTGATAAGCAAATGGTTTTTCAAAACCTAATTTTACCATTTTGTGGCCCAATCCTTTAGACTCCTCTTTACTGTTTTTGAAGTAAGAAATGTGCAGGCTCGCTCCGTTGGAGGAACACTGCTGAGACAGCTTTAAAGACTTATTCAAATACATCCTAGCTTGGTGAATTCAAGCAAATACATTTTATTTTTACTCTCGAAATGTAGTTGTGAGGTGTAATCCTGCCCTGTTTAAATCGGTGACAGAGCTCCTACTCTAATCATTGGGACTGGAATTTCACCCTGTAACTTTGACACTATCTTCTATTTTAATTAATATCCCTTTAACTGGGGGGCAAACTAATCTTATTTTCAAGGAGTATTCATTGACTCAACTTTGAACTTGAAACACAAACATAGAAATCTAATTTGTAAGGCATTTCACCCTGTTTACCTTTTATTGTAGGTCTTCTGGCTCCGACAGTGAGAGTGACCGTAGTTACTCTAACAATCGAAGTCCCAGCGAAAGTAGCAGATACAGTTGAAAATGTTTCCTTGGCAGTGTAGATTGTGTTTACTAATTCTATATCCATGTTGTTAAATACCTATGACCTCTCAGTGCCAGAAGTGGAAATGAAGGATATTTACTAAGCTGGGCGAAACCTGCTTATTTTAACAAATGTTTCACAGGATGCATGCACATGAACGGAAACGTTGAGAACAAATAACTCAAGTTATTTTGTTTGATTGATTTACTTTTTTATATATTCTTCCCAATTTTTTTGTTTTAATCAAATTTTCTAAGCCAGGAGATGATATTTATGTAAATTTGCTGGTATTCCTTTTTGGGGTGCAGCAGCCTGTACTGTCTCCAAGTATCCTTTTGGCGCTCAGCCTGTTAATCAAAAATACATACCGACAACTGTACAACTGTGAAGAAAAATACTTACAAAGGCTGCCATCTGCGTAGCTTATTAAAATGCTTTTGAAAATGCTGGAGCATTAATTCATTAGTATCTTGTACATTCTCTGTTAATCAAACAGCTAGATGATGAAAACAAAGGCTGCCGTTCTGTCTTAACTCTCACCCCATTGTACGTTGGCATTGGAGAGGTAGAGGAAAGCGATGAGATGCACCGTGCAGACTGCAGTATTGCGGCTCAGTGTGCAAAGAAAAAGATCATTCAACTTTTGATTCTTCACTTGCTTAAGAACTCAAATGTTCTAAAGTGATTTTTGTGACACTTAACATAAAGGTTTTCAAATAAGAAGACCTTGCTTCTAAGCAGTGCTATTTCAAATACATGTTACTGTGCTAGGTGCATGTCACTGCATCTCTGAAGTTGAACATTATTTTAAACCTTTGAGTTGTATCACAAAAAAAAAAAAACCCAAACAGTTTGATAGAGTAAAACATAATGGCTCCTTCTGAACTGTTTGTAGAGAGAACATTGTCAAAGGTGCATCCCTCTATTGTAGAGGGATATATAGATATGGGACTATGTACTGTTAATCTGTAAAATGCTATTACTGTAAAAATACTAACGCCTAATAAAAAATGTGTATGGTACTTTGGACATTTAATACCAAAAATGAATCTACATATCAATTAATTGTTTGTAAACGGTTTGTTTTTAAATTGGGGTGCATTTACTTAAAATGTTCTGACTCGGTTCATTATAATTACTTGTAAATTGTTCAAGTGTTTAGGAATATGTATACTAAGGAGTGATCTTGTTATTTTTTTTTGAAAATTTGGTTAATAATGGAAAAATCTGACTAACATAGCTTTAGCAGTGCAACTGAGTACGGATGTATTATAGCATGCCTTACTAATTTTCTGTAATTATTTTGAGATGCTTTGGTTTTTCCTCATAAGTTTTGAAACAGTCAGAATATTTTTTTATCCCATCAGGAAACAAGCGCTTTGAAATGTAGAAGTTTTGTTGTAACTTTTGTTTTTCTCTTAGTTATCAACTCTCATGCTTTGATAGCATGGAAGTACTAAAAATTAGGTTCCCAGCTGAAACATGCAAAGGACTTTAATATTTTCACCTTTCATTTCATCACGTGTTGCACTCTGCATTCTGTTTGTGTCACAGGCTCACTTGATATGCAAGATCCTGGGGATACCCTACAGTGGCCCAATGGAGATACTAATATCCAGATTTCAAATGGCTCTTAATCCCAATTTTGTCATTAAATCCCTCTAATTAAACCCTTTTAACTCTTTCTTATAAACTCAAAAAAGAGGTTATATATGCAAAATCCATACTTTATAAATTATAGAAATAGATGTTTAATGTTAAAAAGCATTGCATTCTAGCATTTTTTTTGTGTTTACACAACCTTTTTTAATAAGGTAACAATATGCCGTACACAATTGTGAAGCAGGTATTTTGTTGTGAACTATACATGATACAGCTCCATAAGATTGCTCCCAGGCTATGACTTCTGCCATGTTTCTGGTCAGAGTTTATCTGTGAAGCTGGGAAAATACTGTACAAGAGAGAGACTTGTACAATTTTTTTAATTTTTTTTTTTTTTTTTTGGCAGCATACTTTTGACTGCTGTTGTATTTAAAAGATTTTAATGGTTCACATCAGAAATTGTTAACTTTATAAAGGGAGGCACTCTGTTTTTCTATTTTTATTTTAAATATTGTATTACATTAAATTGTGTTTCTAATAGAAAATGCACCATTAAGCTGGTTTTATAATGTCTGTTTACTTATTGTAAATTTGTTTTTCTGAAGCAGCTGGTATTTGAAAATGTAAAATAAACTTTTGTACATACCTGCAAACACTGATTTCTGTACATGTGGGGAAAAAAATCCTCCCTAACTTTTAGAAACCTTAAATTATACATACAATTTCTTTGTCATTCTGTCTCTCTAAAAAAACTACAAGTTGTCTTTCTATTTAGGTCAGGAGAAGAAAGGATTTCTCTGCAAGTCTTTGCAGCATACAAGCTGTAAGAAGGACAAATACGTTAAAGAGTTTTTAAAGTATTTTGGCGTCCGATTATAACTCTACAAGATATGTAAATGTTCATATCCTTCTCGAAAGGATGTGTTTAATAGGTAGTTATGGAAATATCTACACCTACTCAGCTTTTTAACTCGGGTAATTTACTAAATAATCTTTCCCAAATATACATTTCCCAGACTCATTTTGTAACATAGGAAATGCATTATTAGTTTAAATTAGCAGATTAATAGATTAGTCTACTGAGCTGTTAAGTCTTTTTAGATTTTCTGCTCCAGAAAAAAATGATTTCACTGGGCGTGCTGGCTTTGTCAAAATGGAACCGGTAATTGTACATTGTAGAAATGAATTTTTGAGAGTGGAGGCAAGTAAGTGTGATTCTCTGTTAGCTAGACCATAGCAAAAACTAAAGCTAACCCATATTTCTGTCCTATGGGCCTTAAGAGGATCTGTTTTACCAGTAAATGAAAAGCAAAGTTTATGGATTGATGCTGCTATAGGAATAAAATCTAACTGCATATTCCCATTTGGAAAAAAAAATCCTTTTTTACTTCATTATTTTTAAAAAACAATTTTTCATAGCATTTGTTTTAAAGTTCCGTTTTTGAACATCAGGATTTATAAGTCAGACATTTCATAGCTGATGTTTCTTTGTTGTCAAGCGCTACTTAAAAAGATTCAAGTGCACGTTTCCTCTGCAACTTGACAAGAACAGCGAGATTGCCTGCGATTGCAGGGCTCTTAATCTCCTGAAGCAAGAATGAATGCCTTATGTAGGCATCAGACCAGACTTGTGCTTCTCAACCTCTTTAGACTCGAGACACCCTTGCAAAACGTGTCAAAATTTAGCAGCGCTCCATTTAAAAAAAATTAATATGAATATATGAGCATTGTCATGGTATGGAAACTGCCAGTACTACCAGACACCTCTTGCAGAGCCATATCAGGAAGAGGCAGTGGCGGGAGTGCAAGCTCCCCAGTCCCACCCTGTTGGGTGTCTCGTGGAGACGGGCGGCAGGGCCTGCAGGTAGAGCTGCCTGTGCATTTGCGTGTTCAGGAGGCACGTCGGAGTCAAACCAGGGAGAGCTGCAGCAAAAGGTCGCGCTGCCATAATGTGACCGGGGCAGGTGTGGGCTCCGTCTCCAGCTGCTTCTCCATTCGGCTCTGACATACCTCCTGAAAAGAGGTGCAGGTGGCAATTTCACCCTGCGGTGGTGCTGGCCTCGTGGCACCCCATGGGTCAGAATCAGTGGACTAGATTAGAGCGGTCCCTTCTGGCGCCCTGAAAAAAAAAGGCAAACTCTAAAATTGGTCTTTAAAAAAAATCTTGTATAGTGACAGATTTTTCATTTGTTCAGGCCTTGTTTTTCCCTGAAGGGTGCAAAACATTCATGCCAAGTATTTCAAACTCATATGCCTAAAATTAAGCACTTGAATAAGTGGGCTGACACTCGCAGGTGCTTGAGGGCCTTCTGTTCAGAGACCAAAAGTAGCACCTGGAAATTGCCCCGGGAACAAATGTGGTAATCTCTGCCGAACAGTGGGTGGGTGAGTGGGTGTTACAGTTAAAAATAATGTAGTTGACATCTCGGGATGTGTCATGGGAGCATGGCATCATTCTGCAAAATGGAAGTCAAATCCTGTGCTACATAAAGCTATGAAGGATGCAGGGTTCAGATTCAACAGAGAAACCTAAATGTATTCAGTAGAGATTATATCTTTCTCTATTGGGCTAGATAACTAATAGATAAGCCACTGCATGGCCTGCACAATGCTGCAGCTGGGTGGCTCCACGGTTGGGAATCTACAACAGATCAGACATTTCCCCTCGAACGTGCCTAAGATAGGAAAGCCACCCAACTGTCCTGACCAGAATGCAGTCCATCAAGTAAGTAACACGCTCTTTTGCAGCAAATTTAAAATTGAACACGAAGAGAGGTCTTCAGTTCTTCCAGTATCGCTTTTGCACAAGGGCTATTTGCGTCCCTGTCGTTGGGCGTAAGCAGCATTTAAAATGCTTTTCTGAAGATCACCCAGTATCTGACAGCATATTAAGTTTCTGTTGATGACTTTGTGTAGTTCAATCATGATCACGCTTACGGTTTGGAGCAGGACACACTATTGGATGACCTTGAGCTGCAGGGCTTGAACCCATCTGGTGTTGTTTTCAACAGGATTTAAATCACAAGAAGACAAAGCTTCAAATGCTCCACCTCCCCTTATGCATCAGTATACAGTACCTTAGTTAATATGGTTGTGAAACGTTAGCAGTTTTCCAAGTGCATTTTAGGAAGGTTTTTTGCTGCTTTTTCTATAGCAGCTTAAACCTCTGTTTTAAAAATCTTATAAACAGTTAAAGTGACCAAATCCTGCATTTCAATGCCTACCTATGAAACTTTTTTTTGAAGCCAAGAGGCTTGCGTGCATGCAAGTGGACAGAATATGCTCCAAAGGGTTAACTTTAAAAAAGAAAACTCTTTAAATCTCTCTCCCTTAAAGACGATCTGCAAATGGGTCTTTACATGAGTGCATTGACTTTTATTTAGCGTCTATATTGTAATGACGCTTGGAGGCCAATCCTTTTGCAGTCCCCATGTCAGCACCTTGTGCAAAAAAGAAAATGAACATCCCTTCCCAACCAGCATGAAATATAAAAGGAAACATGCCAGGTGGCTGGGACAAATAAGCAGGTGGAGAGATGAGATGACAGCCCTCTTCTGCTTTTCTCTGATGTAGAAAAGTCTAGTTTTGATGGACTTTTTTGTCAGTTATCAGGATTGGCAACACTTCTCTTTCCTTTTTTGTCAGAAGACTTGTTGAGGGCCTTGGCAAATGATGTGGTTAGCTGTTGCACTTGTATACAAGGAAATGACGGGCTTGGATCTTGGATAAAGGCTGCTTTTCTCCAAACCGTTTGGTAGTCGTTGCAGTTGGTTAACAAAAGCGATCAAGCCTAGTTCAGTGGGTTTTTTTAGGATTCAGTATGGCTTCTCTTAGTCAGCAGTTGAGCTGGGCATGTCTTACTAGTTTATCAACTGTAAAAATCTGGTCTCCTGAATCTAAAATTTAGTGGAACTTAAAAAAAGAAAATTAAAAATCCAGTCTAAGGGAGTGTACTTTTTATGGTTTGTCTTGACAGGGCAGGATTGTGGAAGCCTTATGCAAGCCGTCCCATTGAAAGCAACCCTTCTGCCTGGCCTCAGCGTTTCGCTGACACGAGAGATGCTGTCCTGAACCCGATAATCTTCTCCTCATCTTACTTTGCAAGTTTTTTGGCAGCAGGAAACATTGCACTGGGACCCGGTGAAGATAGTCAGCCACCTGAGTAAGCAGAGTGAGCTGTAGCTTTTCTTTTGCTAGGGCATTCATAGCTGTTGTGTGACAAAGGAGATGTCTGAGTCTCCGTCCCAACCTGGTCCTAGGTTGTAAACCCTCACTGCAGAATTGGCAGTGGTCACTAAACCTAATCCAGTCCCTTTCCTGCCGTTCATATGGCCCCTGTCACCAGAGTCCACAGATTACCCAGTCTTTAATATATTCATTTTTGCTATGCCCGTGTGAGGTAGGGAAATCCTGTTGTTCCCATTTTACAGGTCATTCTCCAGATGTCAGCCAAGGTCACGGAGCCTGGCACAACAGGCATGCACTGCATTTGAAAGATTGTTTCAGTCTATCTCAAACGTGTATTTGGCCCAATAAAAAATCTTCACATCTTGCATAATTAAACCCAGTTTTGAGTCCCGGGCTAATGATCTGGTCTGGGGATCGTTCTTTACGTCTCTCAGGTGGTCAGCAAGTTGCAGTGTCTTGTGAGATCAGTGCTAAAGAAAGACGGCTGCTGACTGTGGACAAGTGATGCAAGTCCACGTGGCTCTTCGGGATCAAGAGAGCTACGCCCGCTCCCACCAACCAAGGAAGAGCTCGAGCTGGGTGAAATAAGGTGCGTGGCTCTCCTCTAGTCGGCCCACAAGGTGAGCCCTGTCCACTTGAGACGACTAAAGGACAAGTCCCTCAGTAAATTGCCCAGATCTGCATCGAGGCTAGAAAAGATCTTTCCGACGTAACTAAGAGCTGGACAATGACTAGCTGCACCTAGTTCTTCGAGAGGGGAAAAGGCCGGTGGCTTAGGTTTCACCCAGACTTAGCTGCAGTGCAGCACAGATGGGGACAGGCGCTCCACAAAACTTGCCTCTCCTTCCTCGATACTATTTCTGCTCCGCTCCACTCAGCATCTGTCCTACACGGTACATGCTGAGTACACGCCGGAGGGGAGACTGGGAGATGGATGGAGGTTCTGGTTCAGTTTCCCAGGCTGCTCCTGGAGCCCAGCACTGCCCTTTGCAACCTGTAAAATGGGAACAACAGGATTTCCCTACCTCACGCGGGCATAGTGAGGATGAATATATTAAAGACTGGGTAATCTTTGGACTCTGGCGATGGGCCATATGAAGTGATGCTTTGAGTTACGGTCAGTGTCTTTACTCAGGCTAGGAATGGACATAGCATCTTTCCCAGGACAAGTTGTAGCTGGGTTTGTCCCAGGACAGAAAAGTCCTGGAATCGGCATGTGCACCTATCGCCCTTCCCATTGGAGTTTGGTGAATGCACTGCCCCTTTTCTGCCATTGATTCAGTGACGCTATCCCAGGATTTGCTTTGCAATATCCCAGGACAAGCTATTGGCACGCCTGAGCCTTTGTAGGGTTTGTCCTGGGGTGATGGGATGGGGTGTCCAAACGATTGCACTTTGTCCCAAGATAAAATGGGTTGTCTCAGGACAAACGCAGTGGTTGTTTATAGCCTCAGTGACGAAGATGGATGCATCTTCAGGCCCCAGAAGGTCCACAGGAGAGGAGTGCTGCTGGTACCAAGCCTGTTGGATT